ATATTTTAGAACAGTCTTTAGCAGAGAAGTATAAGATAAACTGTGAACAGTAAGCTATGTTTAGTTAGCATGAAGCATATTTGGGTGAGCGACACCCTCTAATTTGTGTTCTGTTAGTTCCACATTGGATAAACGCATAGTCAGTCAGACACATAGATCATATTTGCTATATATCTGTTAACATAAAATTGTGCAAACATAATGATCTGTTAATACTCTTAAGTTAGATTATGAAGGAAGAACAATGATTTCAAGGAAAGGAATACAACAGGTCATCAATATCGTTTCATTCAACATCATTTTGTTGTAACATTGATGAGAAAATAAATAAATTGCTAGCCTTGGCTACTCTGTGAGACGTGAGCCCTGAAAATCTGAGACAGGTCTCAGTTATTTTAGGAAGTGTATTTTGCAGAGGTTGAGGACACACGCCCATGATACAGCCTCAGGAGGTCCTGATAACATGTACCCAAGGTGGTCAGAGCACGGTTTGGTTTTATACATTTTACGGAGACATGAGACACCAATCAACATATGGAAGGTGAACATTGGTTTAGTCTGGAAAGGCAGAACAATCCGAAGCAGAAGTGGGAAGACTCGAAGTAGGGAGGGAGCTTCTAGTTCATAGGTAGAAAAGATACACTTTTTGAGGCATTGTTTTGAGTTTCTGATTAGCTTCTCCAAACGAAGCAATCAGATACGCATTTATCTCAGTGAGCAGAAGGATAACTTTGAATAGAATGGGAGGCAGGTTGGCCCTAAGCAGTCCCAGCTAGACTTTTCCCTTTAGCTTAGTGATTTTGGGGCCCCAAGATTTATTTTCTTTTCACAGTGGAGTTTGAATGTTCTCCCCATGTTTGCATGGGTTTTCTCTAGTACTCGGGTTTCCTCTCACATCCTAAAGCTGTGTACACTGGCTTAATTGATATGTCTAGATGTTCCCGCTCTGCATGTGTGTGGGTATGTGTGAGTGCACCCTGAGATGGGATGACGTCCTGTCCAGAACTGGTTCCTGCCTTGTGCCCTGAGCTGCCAGGATGGGCTCTGATCATCCTTGACCCCGAACTGGAATAAACAGATTATAAAATGAATGAATAAATGAATACAAATTATTGTAAAATAAAAATTTATAAAGTATATGAAGAAAGTAAATCAGGTAAATGCAAGACAATAAACAATGCTGTACGGAAGTGCACAGGGAGCCTGCCATGTTTGTGATTGTCTTTGACCTGCATAGTGGTAGAAAGTGCTCCTGACAATTTTCACCTTGCAAACATTTATTCCTTGATTTAACCCACCATAATGACAACAAGTGACACTCATTGATTCACTAAAACCTGGATAACTAATTACTACTCGAGAGGCTGAGGTGGGAGGATTGATTGAGCCCAGGACTTCAAGGCTGCACTGAGCTATGATTGTGCCACTGCACCCCGGCCTGGGTGACAGAGCAAGACCCTGTCTCTAAAAAATAATTTTGTAAAAATAATCATCTCACTTGTTTTTATCAGTCTTTCTTAAAGGTATGTATAGGTCACATTTAATTCAGTGTTTAATATGAGAAGTATTTAAGTCTTTAGAAGCTTGGTCATTGTTTTGTGACCAGAAATATGCCATAGGAACTTAACTCTTTTCTACATCAATTAATCTATGGTAACGTTGGTTTCGTGATACTCTGTTTTGCTTGAAGTTGTAGTTTCCAAGAACCTATTGACGATTTTAAGTGAGGACATATTGTATAGTCAAATGCTCCAGGGTCTTCTTTTGGTTTAAAAATAAAATGGCAGTAACTGGAGATTTTAACCCCACTGCTTTGGGAAAGCAATACATTAATACATCTCATTCAAGTTTTGGGTGGAAGAAGAAAGAAAAACTAAGTTACCTAAGTCGAGCTAAAGTAAACAAAATTGAAATCCTAAAGGCATTTTGGATAACTCATTGAATCTAAGAACTGTACCTACAGTTGGACTTCACAAGGGACTGTGAGCATTCTTCTCTAACACACCTCTGCTTCACTGTGCTCATGGCTACCCCCTTTCTATGTCCTCTTACTTTAGTTGACCAGCTTAGACTGTCATGGAACATCAAGGAATTCAGTGCAGATGATTGGCTCAGCCTGGGCCAGGCTTCTCCCCTGATCAAATCAGCTGTGGCCAGGGGAGCAGTGTCAGGGAGTACACAGAGCACACTGAACCCACTCTGCCTGTGGTGGGAGGAGGGTTAGAGAGGCAGAGTTTGGAAAAGGGGTGCTCATGAGCTAGGCATGTGTCCAAAAATGTGCCTACCACAGTACATTACAATAAAATTCAAGTAAAACTTGAAATGAGGTAGTCAACACAAATCTTATGTTTGGGCCATAATATTTCTAGAATAATTAAATGTTGCGTCATTACATTCTAGTATTTCTAGTCCATAGCTTTAAAAATGATATTATTATGGAAAGTACTTCTCTTAGAGTATATTTCAGTGATCATATTCTTTTTTTGTTTGTTTGTTTGTTTTTTGAGATGGAGTCTTGCTGTGTCGCCCAGGCTAGAGTGCAGTGGTGCGATCTCGGCTTACTGCAAGCTCTGCCTCCTGGATTCACACCGTTCTCCTGCCTCGGCCTCCCGAGTAGCTGGGACTACAGGCCCTGCCACCATGCCTGGCTAATTTTTGTATTTTTAGTAGAGATAGGGTTTCACCATGTTAGCCAGGATGGTCTCGATCTCCTGACCTCGTGATCCACACGCCTCAGCCTCCCAATCAGTGATCATAGTCTTTTAAGAAGAAATTTAAATTATTTTTTATTTATAATTGGCAAAAGCTTATGACATTTGAAGCTTGTTTTGCTTAACCAAGTATTCAGTAATTCAGCCACACTGGGCCTTGAGCTGTTTGGGACAGAAGCACTGCATGTATAAATCTAACAATTACACTTGTCTCAGTCTTATCTGAGCCTGTGGTCAAGGCCAGACAGCTGCTGAAAGGTTGAGTAATTCTAACTGATGGAACGAATGTCCATCTGCGTAAAAGCAGACATTTTGAAAATGTCTCAATCTTTATCATGATGAATCAACTTAGAGTCATTTACCAATCTGTACCCTCCTCCTTGACTCTTCCACCTATTGCACCACTGAGTTACGATGTTACATGGATGCACACAAGCATCTAACCAACATAAATAATTAGTACTTTTGTTTAGAAAATGGATTAATCAATGATCCTTGCTTTGTATGAATTTTCATTCTTTAACAGGCCACATTGACTACCCCAGCAACAACACTTGACACAACCCCACTTATTTGAGTCCACATCCCTATACTAATTATAAAAAGAAAAAAAAAATGCTGGATCTAGTAATTTTTAAAAATGAGTTGGAACAAAGTTATATAAGCAACAACTCAAAACATGCTTCATAATTACAGATATAAGCAGATGTACATAGAGATATGGAGTGCTGGCAGGAAATAAAATTCAGAGACACAAGTCTCTAAGTAACCAAACATTTTTATCCTTCTCTGGTTTAGCCTAATACTAATCCCTCAAGGCTAATTTGGTACAGATAAAATCTTACTCAGAAGCCTCAGTAAATAAAACAACTGAAAGCCTTCCCACAAACATTAGGAATGCTTATTTTTCAAATAGAAAAGTGTTTATCTTTTGCCTTTCACACTGTCTGACCTCCTAATAGGAGACTTAAGAAGAGGCAGTGACATTTTCCAGCATTGACTATGTATGTGTTCAGCACTTTGCGTGTAGTATCTCATTTAATCTTTATAATAACCTTGTTGTACACATGAAACTGAGGCTCTGAAAATGTTGTCACTTGCCCGAGATTATCCACTTAAAGTATAACATTAATGAGTATGAATGAATTATATAGACATATAATAATATAGACATAATATATAATTCATTCATACTCACACTCTTTCTAACATGCAAAATTGAGACAGTGGATTTATCCAGGCAATAGGTATTACTGTTTGAAATATGTATGGCATGACTTTCAATATTGTTTCTGTACTAAATGATAATTAAATATAAGCATCCCTCATGGAAAGAAGACACTAGAAGACTTAGATCCAAGTTAGGTGTGGGATTTGGAGCCAACATAACATTTATAGGCCTCAGTTTTCTTAGTCTATTTATTTAATGTGTCCCCTCATCCCCCCTCACTCTCTACACACTTGTCCCATTTATATGTTTTATCTCAGTAAGAAATAACAGATATAAGATGCAATGTAAATATAATATAAAAGAAATATTGCCCTTAATTATTTATGTCCTACTTATTTGGAAACCAAGGTTCAAAAAAGTAAATACCACCCCATCTCTTTCACTGCTGTATCCCCAGTGCCTACACTGCTCTGTGAAATTTAGTAAGCACTCAATAAATATTTGTCATGTGAATGAACAAAAGGGAGAGAGTATAAACTGGGAAACATGGACCACAAAACAAACCCTGCTATAGTACTTTCTCTCTGTGTGATCATTTTCTGTTTGTCAACACCTTCCACTGGTTGTCTTCAACGCTATTTTCCCGCTAGAACAGTATCTGGCCCTGCCATATGATAGGCCCTCAATAAATAAAAATTGTCAAAAAGTTTGAAAATATAGGGCTTTTTACCTCATTATCACCTGGAAGTTAATGTGGGAAGTAGGTTTGCATGTCAGTGTATGTTTCTTCAAAGACACATTTACAAAGCAATCATAGAAGATTGTAACTGAGAGTAAATCAGAGCAAATTAAGGCAAATAAAAAAATACAGAAAATCAACTAAATATTTCACTGTGTTTCCAGAATTTGAGGTATCCTGAATTTATTGGGTAAGAATGAAGTTCTTATGAAAGAATGAATGTATGAATTAACTAAAAAAAAAAAAAAAAAAAAAAAAACGAATCATTAAGTAGATCCCGACCCTTTGTTGGTCAGTAACTTATTGCCTAACCCAGGTGAATTTGTGTTCTGTGCCGTTAAAAAAGAGCCTGTTCATTTTATGTTGTTTTCTTCCTTAGTCTGTGAATTTCTGGTACGTGCTGGTGATGAATGATGAGCACACAGAGAGGCGATATCTGCTGTTTTTCCTTCTGAGTTGGGGACTACCAGCTTTTGTGGTGATTCTCCTCATAGTTATTTTGAAAGGAATCTATCATCAGAGCATGTCACAGATCTATGGACTCATTCATGGTGACCTGTAAGTACATCCAGGCAACACATTGCCCTGGCTTTCATGTACCTAAGCAGATTTTGTTGCCATAAGAGCTGTGATTGAATACATACTGGGAAGATCTTTGTTTTTCTGCCACAGTGTCCAAAGCTCTGCTTACTCTAATTACTCTTCTAAATAGGAAACTATGGCCTCTCAAGTTTCTTTAGTAGATGCAGTTTCCTCAAGGAGTTGGTGTATCAAACAGTTCATGGTAATTTGTACATTAGCATTTAGTTTATTAGATTGAAGCAAACAGTAATATTTAGCAAAATCAGGGCACTATGAAATATTTGATAAAGAACTAGTAAAAAAAGTTGGAGTGTTGGCACATTATCTAAGCAGTGTGTTTTTGGTGAGAGAGGGAGATGGCAGCCACCATCTCCCATAAGATCCCTGAATACCAAACAACTGCATCACAGTGAATGGAGAGTGTCTGCAGAAGTGCATAGAAACAAGACAAGGTCAACTTGGTCTTAGATATTCTTGTTAAAATACCCTTTTAATCTTAAAATCTTAACACTTTTTATGTACATATGTATATATATATATGTGACTTAATCCTAAATCTGGTGTCTTGTGGCTTTGAGGACCACTGAGCCCTTCTTATTAGCTCCACATGTATGGGGTGGAAAAACACTTTGCAATAGTAAAGCTCAACCAACTCTCTTGGTATAAGGAGGAGAAAAAGTAAAATTCTAAATAAGAAAAAATAGCCTATTCACAGTCTTATGAAGACAGTATTACTTAATTGTCTAACAGATTATTATGAAGATAAAATTAGTTAATAGACATGAAAAATATTGAAAGTTAAAGTACTATATCAGCAGAAGTCACTTTAATAGAATTATTGTTTCTGATCAGTTATATACATAATAAATACTTGTTATTGATATATACAAATGTATTGCACACATAGGCAATCACAAACACATACCCCATACCACATTCAGATGAAGGAGGCTAGCTATGTAAAACACACACTCAAACACACAAACATACAAACACAATGCACACTAATATACCATATATTTTTGTAATTCTGTCTTTTTATTGAAATTCAAAAGACTTCCTAATACTGATTATTTTGTAATATTATAATGTGTTTTATGCATATACAAGTCTATATTCCTGTAATCTTCTGAAAAGGAACGATGGCATCTTTTCAGAATTATATTATGATTTTTTACATTTTACCACCCCTTGCATTAATTTGAATCTTGGACTGCCAAGGTTAATTTCAGAAAATTCTACATCATTCCTTGTGACATGCAAAGTAACCATGAAGCAAGTCGTGGTGGCTAGCAGACTGTTCTTTTCATGAGCTTCCTGGCAAGACAGGACTTACTTAATTTTAGCATTACATGTATACCCATCCGGCCTTGCTAAATGGACCCAATGAATGTAATATTAATTAGAAAAAACTATCTTGTTCGTTTTAAAAGGATTTCTAAAGGGAGAAATAAACTATGATCAAAGAATGTCCAAATGAACTTACTCAAAGTATTTGCCTTCTTAAGCTTTTGGCAAATGTTCTCTATGACCAACTAAATTATAACAAGTGAAATGTAAAATATAGTTACTTCTGCCTGGTTTTAATCTTAAGGAATTGTTAGAGCAGAGATCGGGCGTGGTGGCTCACGCCTGTAATCCCAGCACTTTGGGAGGCTGAGACAGGCAGATCACAAGGTCAGGAGATCGAGACCATTCTGGCCAATGTGGTGAAACCCCGTCTCTACTAAAAATACAAAAAGTAGCTGAGCATGGTGGTGCATGCCTGTAGTCCCAGCTACTCAGGAGGCTGTGACAGGAGAATCACTTGAACCCGGGAGGCAGAGGTTGCAGTGAGTCAAGATCACACCATTACACTCCAGCCTAGGTGCCAGAACAGGACTCCAACTCAAAAAAAAAAAAAAAAAAATTATTACATCAGCGTGTCTAACCATTGCATTACAGGTTACTTTTCTCCTTAATTCACAAAGAATATTCCTAAATCATTCCCATATGAATTTATTCTAGCTTGTAAAAATTCTGTATCTTTAATATTACTTCAATTTTAATATAAGGTTATAAACTGACATATTATTGATACTAAAATATTGTATACTTATATCATCATTTTAAAGCATGCCATTTCTCTAGAGGTCATGATAGATTTATGGTTGTATGAACTAATGGCTCATCTGTTGACCAGTGGTTACTTCATAGTATTTTGCTTTTCTTCTAGGCTCTTCCCTAGAAGAATTTTAAAATTCTTAGCTCATTATGGAAGAGCTAAGAATTTTTAAAAATGCCTCAAGGGGAAAATCTCCAAGTATCTTGTTCACTTCTTTCTGGAACGTGTTTTCTCAAGTTCTCTTTCCTGCCAGCCCTGAAGTCTAATTTTTGTTTCCTTAGCTCTTTGAGATTGCCAAATAATTCACTGGCTTTCCTGGTTCTCAGCATCTTTCCTCATCCTGGATTTTCAGTCTCCCTTTCTTCTCCAAGTATTAATAGGCAAATACCCTGGAGGGAAAAGTGGTATGCTGAATGTAGCACTGATTTCAGTGAGCTTCTCTTCTTTACAAGTTTGGCCTCTCAATCTTGCCTGCCTCAACAGCTTTATAGTGCCTTCAAACAAAAGGTTTTGTTTCGTTGATTTTGCTTTAATTTCATTTTTTCTGATTATTCTAGATAGAATTATAAATCATGTACAAGCTATTTCACTAAACATAGTTCAGTATTTTAAGATGGATTTTATAGATAGTGTGAATGTCTACATTTTAAATGGTAATACGCTGGTTAAGTGTTACTGATTAAATATAGCCAAAGTCCAAAATTTTACCAAATAATTTATGTAATCAAGTGTTAAATTGCTTATGGAAAGCAGTGAAAACACTTTAAATACTGGTGTTTCCTAAGTGCTGACTTTGGTCTACTTTTCTCCCTATACATTGTTGTCTATTCTTAGGGCTTGCCATTTTCTATATAATAACCCCAGAAGTTGTGTCTCTAGCCTATAAAACATTTTTCTGAGCTCCATACCCATATTATATATTCCATACCCATATTATATATTCAAATGTCTCAGAAACATCTTTACCAGAGTGACACACAGCTATTTCATATTTAGTATGTTTAAAATTGATATCCTAAAATGCTTTGACCCACATTCTTTATGAAATGTCCACTGTCCACCCACATACACAGGCTGTGAACCCAAGTTACTTTCTACTTCTTTCACCTTACACTCAATATTCTACAATCATGAATTATTTTCTAGTCTAACTCCTAAATGTTTGTTTTCCTAATCCAGTTTCTCATTTCAACCATCATCTCTTACTTCATCACCATCTCTTCAGTTCAGCCTCTGTCTTCTTTGGTATGTTGAGTCGCCTCCTAACTTGTGCCCCTACCTACAGTTTCTTCATTTTATAATCTATGCATTAAATTCTGAAATATGCAAGTGATCATATTACTCTGATGCTTAAAACCCAGTGGTTGCTTTTCGTTACCTTCAAGGTCATAGCTTGATAGGTTATCCATGGTTTGACACTAAACTGCTGAACCAGCTTTTTAAAAATCATTCTTCCCGCTCTCCTCCCTTGTTTTCCTTTGTAACTGAATTGCTTGATTTTTCCCATGATCTCTTATTTCTATACCTTTGAATATATCTTTTATATCTCAAATGCCTTTCTTTCATTTGTCTGCCTACAAAGTCCCTATTTTTCCTCGAAGCATCAGCTTAAATATCAACTTAGTAAAGCATCTGTTTTCAGATTAAAATGCTACCTCTTATATATAGCCTTGGTAGACTCATAACTTTTCATAAATCCTAAGATTGTACTAATTATACTATGTTGAAAATATTTGTTTATGCCATTCATGTAACTTGAAATTCAGCCTGGAGAACAGTGATTACTTACCGACTATATGGAAAGGGTTGGTAAGTTTATCCCTTAGTGGAAATATCTCAAGTAATAAAGGAAGGCCTTAACAATCCAGTGTAAGTTTACACAAATAACAGTTTAGAAAAAACTTTCATGTTTCCTCTACACAATAACATACACATGCACAAGAAAGATTTCATACAACAATATGATTAGTAAAGATATCTAATATATTTAGAGGTCACCAAATGATGTATCTCAATATTTTAAACACCACATGAGGCGTCAAATCTTATAAGAAAGAAATTTTCTTATATGTACATAAGAGATCAAATTCTAATTTACCAAGACAAATATGTATTTTTCAACCTAGATTTAAATTGCACAACCTGATTTGGAGAAAAGTCAAAAGTACCTATAAAATTTAAAATGTCCTTTTTTCTATAAAGTAGAAAACCCAATATAAACTTAATATTGCTGCTTTGCCACTGAACTAGATGATGCTATGGATCTATGAGGAATCATACTTTACTCAAAGTTAATAGGAGGAGGCACCTACACTTTCAAAGTTTTCTAAAGCAGCATTCCCCAGCCTTTTTGGCACCAGGGACTAGTTTTGTGGAGGACAGTTTTTTCACGGATAGGGCCTGGGAGTGGGAAGTGGTTTTAGGATGAAACTGTTCCACCTCAGATCATTAGGCATTAGTTAGATTCTCATAAGGAGCACTCAACTGGGATCCCTCACATGCACAGTTCACAATAGGGTTCACACTCCTATGATAATCTAATGCCTCCACTGATCTGACAGGAGGCAGACCTCAGGCAGTAATGCTGGCTCGCCCGCCGTTCACCTCCTACTTTGCGGCCCTGTTCCTAATAGTCCACAGCCCTGAGTTTGGAGACCCCTAAAATATATATTCATTACTTTTGAATTTAGTGCTAGAAATGCTTCCAACTTCCTTTCTATCTTATAATTGAACAGTGCTTAAACTGAAACAAAGGCAAAAGTAAATGAATCTGCCCCTGAATGATTGCTATTTGTTACCAGAAATAACTCTATTGAGAGTACCTGGAAGTAGTCTATTGGGTAGTTTTATATGGAATATCTTTGGAAGTAGT